CTTTTCGTAAATACAAATTAAATTTATTTAATCTAAATTTAAATAACTTTGATATTCTATTTTTTCTTATTTCTATGACAACCTGTGCTAAAGTAGCTATATTACTACAGCGTGCGCCAGAACTCGCGCCCCAGAAAAAAAATTTAAATAAGGTAAGATACCAGAAAAATGTTTACAAAATTCTATCTGTCAAAAAAATTTGACATTTATTTTTTGAGATTTGACATTTTTTTATGTATATTTTTAATGATACTGATGATCTTGTATGTTTTTTTACAATTATTAAGTAAAGGTAGAAAAATTTTGCCAATAAAAGCCACAAATAACATTGAACAGAGTTAAATTTAGGATATAGCTTCCTTATTTCCTCTTTTAATAGCCTATAGCAAAAAAACTTGGAAAATTATTTTTCCAACAGAAATAAATAGAGTCAAAATTTAAACCCTGATAACTTCGAAATTTTTATAGATAAAATGTTTTTACATTTTTTCTATATTCCTGGTATCTTACCTTATATGGCATTTTTCTCTGAGGCGCGAGTTCTGGAGCAGCCTGTATAGTTAGGTACTATACATGAAAACTATCAAACATAGGTATAGGGAATGTTAATACAGATCTAAGCAGAACTAAATTCTCCTCCATTAGTGAAGAAAAAATTAGGGTGTTTCTTCTCGAAAAATTGAGTTAAGGGTTTCCTAAACGTAACCTTACATTGTGGCGGTTTGTCAATTATTTTTCCAATCATGAATACACCAAAGGAAAGATCTAACCTTTCTCTCTCGTATACACAGTTACCGATTTTTGAATGAGAAGATTCAAATTCAAAAATTTTTAAAAAGATCTAAATATTTCGAAAACGGTTAAACTTAGGTATAGGAGAGACTAATAAAAACACTCTCAAAATCACTTGAATCATTTAAAATATATATATTTAAAATATCGAAGATGATATCCACTTCCGGTGTAACAAAAAGTACCGCCATCTTGAAAATATTTTCATTGAGCAGAACCTAACTGATTATGGCTATAAACAAAATTTTAGATAAATATTATTGTTAGAACTCCCAATACTTCTAATGTGGGTTTTAGCCGAAACACACTGTATATTGGATTAGAGCAGAGATACTACCAGAGGCGTAGTGGCGCAGTAACTAAAGGTCCTGCTTTCGGCAGGTAGGTGACCGGGTGTAATAATTTTTTTGCTAGTTGTAGAAAAAAAAATTGGATTGTGGTTACATATTTTTATTTAGCAATTAAAACAATGTTTTGATGATTAAACTATCAATACATGTGTGTGCAACTCGTGTTAATTAATTTGGTTCCAACCAGTGAAAAACCGCAATATACATTTATTTCCCTGCTCGATCAACCATTGCAAAACTTGCTTTCACATGTAAATTACCCCTAATTGCAGCCCGTGTCGCCATTTAGCCACTTGCCAACAATTCGAGTTCGACAAATAATTATGTCATTTCCACATACCATGTCCGGTGCCATAACACACAACACAACCAATCACTCGATTTTTTTTTTTCACACAAAACGCTGCTAATTCGCTGAATGATTTCGCCGAGATTGGCAGCATTGCCGTACCGATCGTCGATTTTATGACATTGGGGCCCCCGCCCCCGACTTGTAACAGCCTTGTAAAGCACTCAGAGCTTTAAGCGGCGCCCGGGGCGTCGACAACTGCTCCCCGCCGACAGATTTCGGTATCCAAATGCGGTTCCGGTTCTCATAAAGGGGGCCACCTGCCGAATTAAATTGATACAGCGGCGGCGACCGAGATATTGAGAGAAAAAAATAAGGGGCTGGTCGATAAATACACTGCAGTTTGCACGCCACAGATGCAATTTGTTCGTGCGATGACGTAAAGAACTGGAACTTCCGCTGCGGAGTATAAACTAATGGCTGATTAAATCGAAATGTGCATTTCACTTGGAAGAAATAAGTATATGGGAATACTTAGCGTTGTGTTAAACAAGTTGGTAACAATATTCAATATTATGCTTCATTTAGTAAACCTACTGTTTTACTTTATTATCATTTTTATTTCTATATTTGAGATAAAAGCAAACAAAACCTCGTTTCAAATTATGCTTTTACTCCTATTGTGTTAGAGTTATTTCTGAAGGAGTTTCGTACAAGATGAAACGTCGAGTGCCTTTTATACATTACATGATTCGTCTCGAGCTCTGCCGTCAAAGAAACTAAAATGTTTAAAACACTATTCTAGAGAGACATATCCCCGTAAAAGTGGGAATTAAATAATAGAGTAGTTTCTGTATTTTCAGAAGTCTGAAATTTAACGTTGGCCGATTTAAATTGCAACGAAACTATTTATGAAGTTATAAAGCGACATCAAATTTTAAAGTAAATACATAGCAAATTAGCTAAAAATTTTATCAACGCCAAAACACCTCATTGTAATTCAATTTTAGTGTATTAATAGTATAATAGCAATGCATCTTTAAAGGTAGGCTTGTTTGAGAAATAGAATTAATTAAAAATAATAAGTAAATGTTAAAATTGACAGAAAAAACTAATTATACATTGTGTTTCGGGTAATTTTTATATCAATTTCACTTTCTCAATTTACTTTTAGTAATTTTGTTGCAAGTCCAATCAACAATTAATTAATTAATTATTAATCTACAATCAATGTATTACTGGAAAGACAATACCAGACATTTGGTACTGTAATAAAATTATTAGATACTTGAAAAAAAAATGTCAATCAGTTAGAAAAAACATTTTTTGATGGTCTAATAATGGATAACGTGGAACGTTCCACATGGAGGAAAATAATGTTTATTTCTTTGCTAAAAACAAAGAAATGTTGTTAGTCGCCAACAAGTTGATTTACGAATTATTTTGAATTTTTTTTTCATTACTTTGTGTTTAGAAAACTCTGTCATTAGTGACACTTGTTAAATAATATAGTTTAAATCTTTTCAGTTGAAGATGCAAGATTTTTTTATGGCCAACTGCGAACAAAAATCAAAGATCATTTTTTGCTAAAAATCTATTATAATATTTTGTTACAAATGTACAGAGTGTGTCAGAACTCGCGCCCCAATTTAGACATTTAACTTTTGAGATTTTATTTAATAAAGGTACAAAAATTTTGCCAATAAAAGCCACAAATGACACTAAACAAAGTTACAATTTAGAATACAGTTTTCTTGTTTTCTCTTCTAATAACCTGTAGAGAAAAAAACTTGGAAAATTATTTTTCCAACAGAAATAAGTGGAGTCAAAGTGCAAAATTTAAACTCTAATAACTTCGAAATTTTTATAGATAATTTTTTTTTAACAGTTTTTCCATGTTTCTTACCTGTCATAGAATTTTTGTCTGGGGTGCGAGTTCTGGCGCAGACTGTATATTTTTTAGAAAAGAAAAAAAAACAAGATTTTAAAAAATGTCATAGCCATCTATAATTCCTATTTAACAAAATACAAGTTTATCTTATTAGGCCTAAACAAATAACTGGAAAAATTTGTTAACTACATTATTAAATTATAGGTAAAAAAAGTGCCAGTATAATGTCTTTATTTCAAATCCGCATTTTTTCTCAAAAAATGAGCCCCAAAATGTAAATGTATATTTTTGGCTAATCTTCTCAGTTTGATCCCATCACATCACCCTGTAATTGATTTTGTCTTATAAAATATAAAACTATTTGTAACCGTTTTGAACAATAACAAATAATTATTTATTTTGTACTCAATGTTAAAGAGTGCTTTTATCAACTAATTTCAGTAGATAAAGTAGTCTTTTATCGTCTAGTAAAATAAAGTAATTTTTATCGACTGTTTATATTCAAGAAATTTTGGTAGATGAGTACAAAATAAAACTAAACACGACCATAAAGATTGTTTATCTACTCATGAAAAAAATCCACTCATGACTTCGTTACTCGTAAACTTAACCTTTTCACTCGTAGATAAACAATTTCTTTATCGTCTTGTATAATAAAATGTATTAATTTATGTTTATTTTAAGAGAATAACAATTTTTGCCAATTTATTTGTCTCCCTTAAGTATTAACTAACTTCAAAAACATTCCCAGGATATAATTTTCGTCTCTCTATTTCTTTATTCCATACTGATACTCTATTAATTTAGCACGAGTACGTTATTTTGTAGAATAACTAGTTAAAGTATAAAATAACAAAACTATCCTATATTTTTACTACTTTTGATGCCTTTTTTTAATAAATAACTAGTTATTCCATGAACTACCGTATTACATGCACGCCAACACATATTTATCTCTTTTGTAAAATAAACATCTTATATTTTTAGTTTTTTTAACTGACTGTTGGTGGAAATAGTATTAGTAATGACGATAAATAAACCTAAATTACAAAAAAAATAAAGAAAAAACAAACTTGTTCACCTTAATCGCTTTTTTGATTTTGAACACTTCAAAAAGCAATTAAATAACTTGGTTAGATGTTATTTTCGGTGACAGTTTCCTTGGCCCTAGCGATCAAAATTCTTAATCTCTTGTAAAAATTTTCTTCCAAATCTAATTAATTCATTCAGCTTTAGCCCTTTCCGGCTTATTTCTTTCACCTCTCTTCCGTCCGAATTTAATTGAAAACTGAACAAATCTTAATCGCGAAATCTCCTTTTCCGTTTATTCTCTTCATAGATAAACGATTAGAATCACCCCGTCTGTCACCGGCACCACTTTGTCTAAAACGTTTTAATCAGGAACATCGAAACCTGCACCGAATTACGTCGTACACCACCCTCGTAAACATTATCGGTGTGTATCAGCTGCTCTCGAAATCCACCCGCGTCAAATAATTCCGAGTCGAGTGTTTCCGCGCCACATTAACGCCATTATTCCTCTTCGAAATTTTACATGTTATCGAGAGAGGGGTCGGGACGTCTCGCAACACCAAAAACCACTTAAATATGCCGCGATACGCCCCCGAAATCCCTCCAACAGGAGCAGAAAAAACAATATTGAAAATAGTCAACTCACCTTATAGCAACTTTTCTCAATTGGGCAATGGTCGGGTTACCGACTTTAACCAAATCCCCTTCCATACTCTTCTGTATTACTGGATGCACTCTATCAATTTCGACTCGATGTTTCTCCCTTTCAGCGCTGTCCAACATCATGTAATCCATAAGATCGCTGAAATCGTCATGCTTTTCTTTCGGTTCTTTGCCAAGAACCGGCTTTTTTTCAGGCAAGTCTTTCAGGGTGTGAGGAGCTGCTTCTACCTCCTTTGAAGCGTTTGCACTACTAGCACTGAAAAAAAAGTAAAATTTATCAATATTTCAGCCTAAAATTTTGACATACATGTGTTGCATATTTATCCAATTTAACAATTGTTACTAATAAAATAACAATATCTATTTCGTTTTATTACTCCACATCCGCTAGTGGAAATAAAACTATTTTTTATTTAGATAGGCAACCAATTATACACTCAAACATTTATAAACAATTATTGTTATCGCAAAAGGGTGAATCGGGGCAAAATCTTGCACAACAAACTTAATTTCTTAACGATCGAACTTTCCTTCCATTCAGTTCGGTGGGAATAGTTCGCACAAACTGTATTTTCTCTTTTATTCACACAATTTCTCCGCATTGTCGGTTTATCGAAACAGTTCATGTGTGGTGGGTATGCCAAGGTTGTCTCTTGAGTAAGAGATGTTTCCGAGAGGCATGATGGGCGAGGAAATCTCGCGAGTTTACTCCACCGCACGTTCGAATTTCTTGAAAGGTGTGACATTTATTAAAGAAAAATTTGTCGGACTGAATTAGTAAGCATGTCTGGCATAGTTTGCGGCGATTGGTTTACTTCCTGAACGGATAATGAATAATAAATGTTCAAATGGTTCATGTCTAGGCTTATGTAACGGCGAGAAATGCATATGAACGATAAATAAGTGCACCAAAGTTCAAATTCTTCGCAAAGCAGGGCACCTTTTCCTCCTTTAAATCACGAGGTTATTTATTTTTGTCATAATTGCTTTATGATTGCTTTCAGTGACATTCATTCAAACGTTATTACAGTTCATTTAGCTTTTTTAATGTTTTATTCTTGTATTTAAATTGTTTTAGATTAAAATCATTATCATTAGACGGACATTACAACAAGGGTTTTAAAAGCTGTTTTTGGCCGTTTTGTTTTTACTCTTCCCACTGAAAATTCTACACGTCAGAGTCAGAGCATCATAATTCATATCCTAGATTATTCCAAAAATTGTGTAAAAAAATTATTTGTTTTGGAAATCAAAATTTAATTTTTATATCAACAGTACGGCAGTCACGCGCTCAATTTTTTTCATAGCTTAGGTATAGTACCTTCAAGATTTATGGGTTTAAATTATACAGGGTGATTTTTAGAAATCGGCAGACGCTGCAGACTTTTTATTTACGGCCCAATTTCAAAAATTAAAAACCTGAATTAAATAACTTTTAGCTGGCTATTTTAGAATTTTTTCAAATATCATAGTATATTTTAGGCTATATTTAACTATTAAAATATTTTTTTCATGTGCAACATGTTCTACTTTTACTAAAAATTGTGGTTTAAAAAAGTTATCAAAATTTAAAAAAAATATTGTATCAACAAAAAATTACTGCCTAGGATTTAGGGATATTCATGAATAGGTTGCCATAAATTTGGTTAGGTTGGTTTCTGGTGACACACAAAAGATATCGTAACTACTGTCAAAATTTAGGTTAAGTCATCTGTCAGCTTGTCTAGATAATTTAATTCATAGTTGACAGCAGGTTGACAGAAAACGTCAACCGTCAAAAACAAGGGGTAACCAACCCTAGGCATTAAAATTACTTCTGAAAATTCTAGTTATATACAACATGGAAAACGTAATTTTCCTAAAATCCTAGGTGGTAATTTTTTGTTGACAAATCTCTACATAAAATAATAATAAAAAACGTTGACGTTAACAATAATTTTATTCAAGTGAACAAAATAGATAAATAATAATAAAATAAAATAATCACACTACATTAGATATTTTTCCGATTTGTTGTTGAGAATTATTACACAGATATTATTATTGGCATTTTTTATTAAAAATTAAAAAAAAATGGTTACAATAGTTTCTTTCATTTGACGCTTTTTGACATTACAATAATGGCATTGTATTCTTGACACCATGCAACTGTATTTTATTAACTTTTATTAATTTTTTGAAATTTTTTTTAAACAATAATTTCTAGTAAAAGTTAAACATATTGCACATGTCTGTACTAATAAAACTAATACCTTCCAAATTATGAAAAAAAAAGAGTTCCAATTTAAAACAAGAAAATTGAATATAGTCCAAAATATACCTTGACATTTAAAAAAATTCTAAAATTGCTAAAAAGCCATTTAATTTAGTTTTTTAAATTTTACAATCGAGTAATAAATAAAAATTTTAGAGCACCTGCTGTTTTTTAAAAATCTCCCTGTATATCAAATAATTAGATCACATGATAGAAAGTGAACGAATACAATGTGTGGGAAAACTCCACTTCCCGTGGCATACTGTGAGCGAATTTTATTTTCAATACACTATTATCTAATTAATCCACTCCATTCGCAATTATTTGTCCAGAATTTCGTTCCATTATCGCGCATATTGACATGACACAAAACAATCAAAGATGCCACTGAACTGGAAATATTTAAATAACTGTATATTTAACAGAAAAGTCGAGTAAATTTACTCAAAACTGGAGAATAACTCAAACACAATCACGTGACAGTTATTACTGTATTTTTTGGTAAAAATAATAATCCCCTAAAAGTCCTTTTAGCAAGAAAAGCAAACTGTGCACCACTAAGTGTATCACTTTTATGGGCTTAAGGAAGTTTGCAATGACCATAAGTTGGTAACAGCTTTTAACCTCCTCGTACGATAACTACAATAACACGAGAGCAGCAATAAAAATAACAACTTTGCAAGTTGTTGGTAATAATAATAAAATTAAGATTGTGCCAAAATCTGTTTAATTGTACGTGACCTACGGAGCAAATTTGTCATTTAATCAAGCTGAAATAATGACAGATTAATATTACCTTGTTGTCATTGTAATAAAACATAATTATAGATAAGATGATTAGATCTGTTATTTTGTCTCAGATTAAATAACTTTGAATGTTGTTTATTTATGTAATAATAGGAGTTGGGAACGAAAAATTCCCAACAAAGAATTTATTCGAGATGTTTCAAACCAAACAGACACCAGTGATAACGCAGATAAAACTATTTACATTCCTTTGTTCTGCTCCAATCCAATATTGATTTTCAATGGTCATAAATGAAAATTTACTAGAGGTGTAACAACCGCATGACCTACAATTACTTATAATTAACTTAAGTAATAAATAGTCAATTGTTCCTTATTACAACTAGGTACGGAAATAAATTTCCTGGTGGGGTAAGCAGGTGTTTTTTTTAAACAAGTCCGCCACTGTAAGTACGATTTTATATACTTTAATACGATTTTCTCAAAGAAAGTTAATAAAAAGAATTGCCAGCAGCCGTTACCAATTGTTTGAATACAAAGAAGCGAAAAAGTTTCAAAATTGGTAATATTCGACTCGGCAAGAACAAGATATTTGAATTTCATTTCAGTATAGGACGGAAAAAACTCAAATCGATACACAAAGTGGAATAATTGAATGTAAACCAATATTTCATTTATTTGGATGACGTTTATAGTCATTACATAATTGCGTAAACTTGAATTGTCTATGTCAACAAATCAGCAATAATTGTCCATTCAGATAAACCTTTCAATTAAATGATAACCCCACAAATTGCAAGTTATAATAGAAAAAATAATGCAATAAGACGCATTTCAACAATGCAACTATAAATAACGCAACCTAATTCTTCAATTGCGACATGTGATGCTTTGAATAACTTTAATTAAGACTTCACCTGCGCAATATACTGTGCGTTGAAATAAAACCGGTCATGTGGAAACATTATAAATAGATTTTTCGGCCTAAAGAAAGCCTCAACGGATTTGTATTTAACGCTCTTTACTCTTGTTAACTTTGAATAGTCGAGAAAGTGGTTTTGTAACCTGGCCTAATGATAATTATATACTTCTTAATTATTGATTGTGCGTCAGAAATGACACTGACATTGCGGTTCGACGTTGATTGAAAAATCCAGTGAATATTAATTAAAAAAACACTTTATATTTATAACGATTGACGACTATTTACAACAAATTAGTCTAGACAATATATACAGTGTAATTTTGAAATTGAAATTAAAAATATATATATATTGTAGATTCTTTTTCCAATTAGGTAATCATAAATATTTCAAAAACTGTATGAAATGTCTTAATTAAAACCAAAATTTAATTTTTCTAAAAATTCTGTAATTGGCACTCCAAACAAAATAAAAATACATCATTAACTTATACAGAGTGTTTATTTTTAGCCATATATATGTCATATCAAGTCAAGTTAGATCAAATTTTCGTTTTACAAAAAAATATTTTTGTGAAAAACACTAGGTGTATCAAATTGTAGAATTGTAAAGATTAAGTTTGAATACCATGCTACAGACATTTAAAAACACCCTGTATTTCTATAATAATTAGAAACTTTGTATCGCTCATTATTTTTATTATTTCATTAAAAACTTTTTCAAAACACGTTTCCATTTTAACGAGTGTTTGTTTTCTTAAATTTGGTGTCAAAGCTATCCATGAAAGTTTGATTGTAAACGAACCATCGTATTGAAAGTTACTAACTGAAATTTGACAAATTATGGTCCGTTCACAACATACTCTTATTACCGCCAACTATGACGCCAAATTTAAATAAACACCCGTTATTTCATATTACTTAACTTTATTTATTTTTTTACGATTCCTAGTACATACAGAATGTGCCAGAACTCGCGCCCCAGAGAAAAATGCCATATAAGGTAAGATCCCAGGAACATGGAATAAATGTTCAAAAAATTTTACCTATAAAAATTTCGGAGTTATTAGGGTTTAAATTTTGCACTTTGACTATTTATTTCTGTTGAAAAAATAATTTTCCAAGTTTTTTTGCTATAGGCTATTAAAAGAGGAAACAAGAAAGCTGTATCCTAAATTGTAATTCTGTTCAATGTTATTTTAATATTAATTATTGGCAAAATTTTTGTACTTTTACTAAATAATTGTAAAAAAAAACATATACAAGATCATCAGTATCATTAAATACACATAAAAAATGTCAAATGTCATAAAATAAATGTCAACATTTTTTGACAGAATTTTTTAAACATTTTTTCCGTGTTCCTGGTATCTAACCTTACTTGAAAATTTTCTCTGGGGCGCGAGTTCTGGCGCATCCTGTATACAAGATGATTTGGAATACACAACAATAGTTAAATTGGTACAAGTCAAAAATGTGTAGACACTATTACAATTAATTTAAATGTCAGATTTACAAAAAAAATGTTTTATGTCAATGAAGGGTCAGTGGCAAACTCATTTTTGAGAGTAAATCTTTATAACGCTTTTCTCCCCTATTACAGACTATTTTTCCAAACGCATATTTTTTCATCTAGAACGTTTCATAATGATTGACATCTCGGTAGGCGATGAGAGTGTAAACTAGACTTCAATTTTAGTTCCAAAAAAGTTACTAATGTGAACATTCATTAGATCGCGATACCTCATAAAAAATGACATTTCAGTTGAATTCTGTCTGGAAAAATACCATAACCAATTTGTACAAAAGTAATGTGGAAGAAACGTGGTACAAAAAGAAAATAAGAGAGAAAAAGCCCAAAAACCACTTAAAAACTACAAATATCACAAATTGTGAAAATGACATATCGTCAACCAGTGGTTGCAATCGTACAAAAATGCACAACCTAGAACTCTCAAAGTACAAGTGTTGCCACCTTAAATTTGAATTTCCATGAACTACCGAGATGTCAATCATTTTGAAACGCTCTACAGTTTATATGGATTAAATAGTGTCACCTAGATGTCAATCATTTTGAAACGCTCTATAGTTTATATGAATTTAAATAGTGTCATGTATTTCAAAACCATCCTGTACATAATTCATGACAGTGCCGCCACTGTCTAAAAAAAGTCACTGAAAAAATTACTTAGCCCACTTCCGGTCATTTATTTGCCAATACACATATATTGTCAACAAAATAAACATTTCTTGGAATCAATACATGAACTGTTTTTGCAACAGTCAGTGGCTTAAAATATTGCAAAATAGCTTTGTTTTCAAATTTCCACACACTTTTTTGTTGTCTAAATTTCACACTATATTTTAAACTCGAAAATATTTTAAGAATTTTTGCTGCCGTCATTTCTAAAATAAAATTGTTAAAAATAATTTTAAACTAGTATTTTGAACCACACTGCTTTAAATAAAAATAAAACATTTCAATAATTCAAAAAAAAGTTTTTCAATTTAACAAAAACAAAACAAAACGCAACAAAGTAATCATTCTTTATCTCATATCTTGTTGAGAAATAAAGTTCACTACTGGTCAAAATGATAAAATTTTGCATTGATACAGATATTTTGTCTTGGTGAAAAATTTTAAATAAACTATGATTTTTTGGCTAATGTTTTGAGCTTTGACTTTTATTCTCACAGTGTGAGAAAGCAGCTAAAGTTGTATCAGGCGACACACCCGTGTTTATTCCCTCCCAAATTGAAAGCAACACATGCATTATATTACAAAGTGAATTTAACTAGAGTTGGTTGTCTGAAAGTTGTTTGCAACAAAATCAAAAAGTCGCCTCGAGATCAATACCTGTGTGTTTTTTGGAGGAACCTCTTCCTGAAGCTGTTGTAGGCCGAGCCTGCGGCGCCCTCCTGCACGTACTTGACCCTCCCGTGGGAGGGCACCAGATGGTGCCCCGACATCCCCAAATCCATCTGTATGTCCACCACTAGGAGAAACGTGAACAAAACCGCCGCCACACTAACACCGAGTATAAATCGTTCTTTCAATTTCATCCCGCCGCGAAACATATTGACACGCACACACTGCACTGGGTTATTCTTGCCACACCATTCGATTTTTTCCGATTGTTCAGCGATTTTCGGCTCAGGAGGTGGCGAGTACTTGAGTTTTGTCCTCGGAGGCGGTGTGGGTACTGATTCAGGGCCCGGATTCGGTACTATTTGAAGCTTGCTCTTATCTTGATCGATAGCACAAAGTGATCGATTGAGACGTTTCAGCACTTTTCGGACACTTTTGGGACTGTAGTGCTCGTGGATGTAGCCTTCGGGGGATTTTTCGTGGAATTTGCGAGCGAGGATCGCCGAATTTTCGACACTTTTTGCTTGGAGGTGATGGAATGTTGAGGGTTGAGGGGCCGCGCCTTTTGCACATGGCAGCCCTCTGATGGGGGGACCCTCCAGGTTACTCCTCGACTGCTGCTACCGAAAACCCTCCTAAAAAAAATTTCGTATATCAGCAAACCTTATCAACAAACACTAATTTTGTTCATTATTCCGAGAATAAATTTTTTATTTAATAAAAAGAATCGCGAAAGTGGAATATTAAATATCCGTGTGTAGTAAATGTCGTATTCGCTCCAAAATTAAATTTATTAACTCGCTAGCGAGTCTAAATTTAGATATTTATTCGTACATTTATTCAACACTGAGAATTTTAGGAACTGATACGAACACAATAAATGGAAAACTGCATTTTTGTTGATAAGATATAAATCTTACATGTAATAAATAAGATGCAATAACAGTAAAAATGCTGTTTCTAAGTACCGACAACAAAAATTTGAGACAAAAGTGGAAAATTACGAGAAAATATCCTATAACACAAATTTTGGATATTTTTAATGAGCTAATTCGAAAAATTCCTAACTTTTTGTAGCAACGCTAATTAATTTTATTCATAATCACTAATGTAATATCCCGATTACTAACCTTTTAAAGGTTGGGAAACACATCATTAAATCTCATGAGAAGTAATAATATTACTTCTCTTGGGCGGTAATATGCAGGATTGCCAACCTTAAAATTACAAAAACACGGGAAATTTTTTCTTTCAAATTGTCAAGTTACGCATAATATTTTGCTAAATTAGTATTCAATTGCTTTTGTAACAGTTTCTCTTACTTCTGGGCGAGCACATTGCTCCATTTCGACGATTTTAAATCAGATTCACACATTATTTCAATATTTTCTTTGACAATTCTGAAATGTTAAAAATCAAACCATTTTGATGGCCTACCACGTTTGGACCTTAATTTTGTTAGAATTTTATTTTACTCAAACTTTTGACTGAAAATAATATAATTGTGAATAAAATAGCATACAAACCCCCTTGTACACATAAGCACTCGGGGTAATGCCATATTTCTTAATGTACTATTACTTCTAATAAAGTAAAATAATGAAATAATGATATTTGTAAAGACCAAAAATAAAATTTTGTGCCTAAGAATTTAGAATTAGAATCTAACTACCCATTTTGTGTTATTTGGTACAAGTATTACCCATAACGTTAGAGTCAAAATAGTTCCCAAATTTTTTAATCCTCTAATGATAACCGAATTGGTTCCCGGCTATGGTCTTTGTTAAGCAGATTAAGGGTAGATTTACTTTTGAGCAGAATTTTTCCAACTATCAAGGATGCATGTAAAGCATAAAATCAAGCGGTTTTTTTAATTTTGTTTTGCTTTAAGAGTTATGCGACTTTTTTGTCAAAATTACAATTTATGTAAAAAAATAAATACTTATTGTAATCGTTAGGTCATAATCTTCTTGAGAAAAATGGTTTTATAGTCAGTTGCCATTTCAAATTTCACATTTTTATGGTACTTTATCATTCATCAATTAGTTTTTCCAAAAAATTGTTTAGAGAAAAAGCGTTTGCTTCCATACTTTTTATTCACCTGGTACCTATATAAATTGGACTTTTTAAAGTTCATCAAATTGGCCAAAAAACAAATAAAGATAGTGTTTTCCGTAATTTTTATATTAGTTATCAACCCCACAAGTAATTCCAACATAAATTTCTTTTAATTTAACTTTTTTGACTTTTTTTTAGTGATTTTGTCACTAAAAAGTTGAAAAAAGAATACTGGATGTACAGATTTGTCAACAAGAAATTACCAGCTTTTAGGAAAATTACGTTTTTCATGTTGTTAATAATTAGAATTTTCAGAAGTAATTTTAATACCTAGGGTTGGTTATCCCTTGTTGTTAACGGTTGACGTCTTCTGTCAACTCTCAAAGTCTCAATTAAATAATTTATCCATACAAGCTGACTGGTGACTTAACCTAAATTTTGACACTGGTTGCGATATCTTTTATTTGACACCAACAACTTGACCTGACCTGACCTGACCTGACCTAACCAAAATTATGGCAACCTATTAACGAATATCCCTAAATCCTAGGCAGTAATTTCTTCTTGATACGACAAAACTTGATTTTGTCGTATAAGATCTACAACTATTTATAACCGTTTTGAATAATTGTTATTTTTTATCCGAAGATGTAGGTATTAATTTATGTTTATTTTAAGAAAATAACAATTTTTTGCATATTTTAGTTGTCTCTTTCAAATAATAACTAACTTCCGAACTTTCCTAAAATATTATTTCGCCTCGTCAATTTTTGTATTCCATACTCTATTTTGCACATAAAAAAAACTAGTTAAAGTATAAAATAAGAAAACTATTTTTTATTTTTACTACTTATTTTGCTAATTTTTTAGTAGGTAACTAAGTTGAAAAGTAAAATAATCTTACTCTAAATAACCCCATAGCATCTCCTTTGTTTTACTAATCCTCTCGTAGGAAATAACTAATAAACCACTTTGATAATCCGCCTTAAATTCCCCCATTCCACCCTTTCTCTTACCCCAACTCCGGGGCGATGATTTGTAAATCGATTCTCTTTTAAACTTTAACAAAAATAAACCCAAGTTATCCGAGATTGAGTTACTAGTTTGTAAATAAGTTTCGCAACTCAAATTGACAAATTCTCGAATAAGTTATACATCCCTTACTTTATCTAAAATAAATATCTCAGCAACGAAACCATATTATTAAACCGGCATTAATTCCGGCCGTGCAATTGTTAATAGTTTTTCATTAATTAAGCGTGAATCTAATTACGACCACAGAAAACCCCACACCAGCATTGTTAATTGCAATCAAAAACGGCCATTAATTACATAATTCATTTCATTGCGACCGCACAAAATAAATTCAACGGCTACTACTATCGCCGATAATTGCATTATGCATGAGCACAAAATTGAATTTGTTGTAATTAAAACTGATACACTTGGAATAAACACGGCACTGAAATTTGATAAGATTAATCCTCAAACTGAGTTGTAATATTTAATTACAGAAGAGTCGATTTATCGCAGAAGAATATTTTTATTAAAAAGCTCCACGCTGACAATCGCCGTCCCATTCAATTCGCCTCTCGATTTTATTTCCATTCCATTAAACAGAAAGAAAGGGGTGACAACACGACTGGGATTGAAACTGATGGCAATCAGATCCAACACAGAAGTAAATAAAATTCGATGTGTACATTCAATAAAAATCAATGGACATTTTCAACATGACACTCTTCTTCCCGTCGATACAACGAGACAATTTGGTTCACAAAACTAAGACTCTTATCTTAATAAATCAATCAAATCGGCAATTTAGGATTTATTTTCTTATTGTTTGTATTTATTGAGATTAATTGCGATTGGCCTTGGATGTTATTTTATTATCGCAACTAATTTTTATTTGGAAACTCAGCTCAACGTCGTGTACAATTTCAAAAGAGAACAAGGATTTGGTATTTACTGTCTTGAGAACTCTTCAATTACCATAAAACGTATCATTTCTCGGATTGAAAAATCCCACATCCGGAAATAGAAAATAAATAGAAATTTTAACGTGACTGAAGTTTTGTGATATCGTTTGAGACACACAAGATTTTTCCAAATGAATAAATTATTTTCAAGTTCAAATTCAACAATGTGTGTCAGTAATTCATTCCAATACCAAACATGTCCGCTAAACCTTACAATGAATCTCGCAATAAACAATTAAAAAAAAAATACACTTCAATCGATTTGCGATAAGACTGAAACAATAATAAACGATCAATTAAATGCCCTGAAGTGCTTTTCGAATCCTATTCTCCTAGAATAATCAACAACAAATCAAATCGGCAATTGTGTAAAATAGATTTATTTATGTTTGATTTGAATTCGCTTTGACGAAGATAAATCGCTTATAGTTTTGACAATCGGTGGATTAATTGCCTCCAAGTCTGCATATGTATGAGACACTTTTTAATCCCCTTATCACAAAATACCCTAATCCCGAAATTTTCCACCTGAATAAACCGATTTTTCGATACCTAATGATCGGCTTTCTTTCAGGCTCTATAAATCACCACATCCGATTTACTTTCATTTTCAGTTTGGCTCAACAATGGATTTTCGGAATTCTTAACGTAATACCCGAGCTTTTTTCCCTCTCCGACATTATATTCTGTCGTGTTAATAGATTTATCGACGATTCTCGAACGCCAGATAATCGAATTATTTGACGACGCCCAACACACTAAATTCTATACAGAGTGGTAAAAAATATCTTAAAACATTTAAGGAGGTAATATATGAACCTGAATAAATAAAAAAGGCTTAATAAACATGAGTCCGCAAACTAACGGTTTCGGAGATATCAAATGTGAAATTTTTTTAGAATATCATCATGACACAAAAAATAAGACACCTGAATTCTAAAAACATTAAAAATTTGTAAGGATATTAAAAAAAAAATAAGAAAAATAGCATAAGAGCTTTACAACACATGGAGTAAGAGAATAAACAAAAAAAAATTAAAATTGTCAAGTAGATCTTCCGAATTTCTTTATCCTTTTCATTATCTTGACCTTTTTTAGTTTTTTTCCCGACATTCGTAGTTTTTTATCTGACTTTCTTTTTTTTTCTTGTAGCGTTTTTATTCTTTTGTTCTCAAAATTTTTTTGTTAGGTATATATTTTTACCAATTGTTAAATTATCGTTTCAGGTTTCGTTTCAACCATTTCTTTTTTCTTAGATAAATAATAAGTTTTTTTTCGTTAGTTTTTGTATTGCCGGATTTTTTTATTATGCCATGACAATTTTTTGTTCTACTTCCGTGTATGTATTATTCTCAAATTTCACTTTTTATTTCTCATTTTTATTAAAATAATTCTTCTCATATTTTTTTCAAGATTATAGTTTTTATTTAAACCAAAACACTTCAATGGACCCAAAATTGGTCAAGTCCACGTTTTTTTCATTTAAAAATACAGGGCTGTTTCACATAATTTTACGAGGCCTGCGCCTGAAAGATGCAATCAATAATACATATTCCGATACGCACTCGATTACAAATTT